AGCTGGTGTGTGTGTGTGTGTGTGTGTGTGTGTGTGTTCTAACCTTCTGGAATGTTCTTCCATCTTTAAGTCTGTCTTCTTTTTAAGTCTCTGGATCTCTTCTCCACACCCTCTAGATCAGCCTTGCACATGGCGGTTGATCGGTTGTTTTTTTGTCTGACGTTTGAGTCACAAGAACAATAAGCTAGGACAGTTGTCCAACTGTGAAATGACAGTAGGAGTATGCTCTTCCAAGCCACATGGAGGCACTGAGGGTGCCCATTGTTTCCTCCGTGGAACTATTGCTTCTCTGGGACAACCTACGATCCCAGGAAGAACAGAGCCATACACCAGCCCAAGATGCTACCACAGTCACCTGCTCTCACAACCTCAAGTTTCTCCAACACTGGAGCAGGGGATAAGGAATGCCTTCAGAAGGAAACATTGACTGAAGCCCCACCAGGTGTCCCTTGGAGTCCTGGAAGCTACTGTTCGAGGTGATGTCACCATGTTCAGGAGCGCCCAGGGCTTGGGGGTGGGCTGCCACTTAGCTGAGTGCTGGGGCTGAGAAGTGAACCTGTCTCTGACCTGGTGTCTAAAGCTCTTTTTATGGTAGAGGGAGGTAGTAAAGGCACAGTGTCCTCCTGTCAGGCAAAAGGGGGATGCTCTCCCGGGGGATGTTTAGAAAGAGGTTCCTGGCCAGACTGGCTTGGGCAAGAAACCTGTCTGCAGTCTGGAGGGTATCTTTGAAGACATGCATTCCCTGCAACTGAGCCTGAGGACAACAATAACAAAGATACCAGATCCTTTGGGTACCTAGTGTAGAGTCTATAAGAATACTTTCCCAGGTGGGCAGAAGATCAGGTAGGTGTCTGGTGGCTGTGTGTTCCTAAAATTGGAATGAGGGAAGGGACGGACACTCCAATCATATACTGTAGAGTAGATCCTAGCAGCCACTTTCCTCCACTTGAGAAAAATACTACAAACAAATAAGGCCGCAACAGCCCAGAGCCTTGGGAATAGAGGGTGAGCCAGGAGTCGGGCACTGAATAATGCTTTCCTTCAGCCCCAGATGCCTGCACGGCAGGAAGGCTTTCCCTCATCTCCAACCCACAGAGAAGGTACTGGGGTTAAATATACAGGCTCCCTGGAAGGGACCTGGGATCCTCGGACTAGCACTGTCAGTGGGAGCCCTTCAGCTCTTGAGGGTCCAGAGAACACCCCACGTCCCCTCGTAAGGCAAAGTATTGGCTTCTTTTTAAAAGCAGGTTCCTGGAGAGACCCAGTACCCCAGGGAGTGGGCTAAAGTGTGTGCAACCCTGAACTAGTTTGATACAGGAGTGATACTTGCAGGCTGGGGCTTTCACTGTTAAGCAAGTGCTAATAGCGAGAAGGAGACCAGAACATCCAAGGGAAAGGCCTTCCATGCCGGGAAACGAAACCCAGAAGCCAAAAAGGGCAGGGAGCCTGGGTTTGCCCCTCCGATGCTATGCTACACTGACAGAAGCTGCCGCTGTTCCCAGGCCAAGGTGAGCACCCTGACCCAGGAAAGCGTTTTCTCCGGCAAACACTTAAAGAGGAAAAAATGTTCTGGGAAGAACCCGGCTGAGCCATTTGCGGAGAAATGTTTTAAAAACCAGCCCAGGACTCAGAAGGCTTTTTGTCAAAGTCATAGCCTGGATGCTCTCTTCTGCCGAGGGGTATTCCCCTACCTGGGGGGCGGGACAAGACCAAGGCAACCCCAGTGTTCTCAGCAGAGCCAGGGAGGTCGTAGAATCAGAGGCTTTGGACGCCTGGGCAGGCTCCTTACAGGCGGGTGGAAGAGCTCCGGGCAGGAGCCCCACATCCCGAGAGCACAAAGGCTCCCGCGCGAACACCTACTGCTCCCCAGACCCCTACACAAGCTGCTGTACAAGCCGTCAGACTCCATTGTGTGACAGATTTTTGGACTCTCCCACCGACCCTCTCCACTTCCGGAGACTCCTCCAGGAATCCGCCACCTCCTTAAGACAGAAACCTTTTCCAGACAAGCAATTGGGGCGAGTGAGCGACAGCCGGCAAGAAAAGGGAGTTACATAATTCGATTTCACTAAACTACCAAGAAAAACAACATATATTGGGGAGGGAGATTTTCAATTTTTTTCTCAGTTTCTCCGAGTGGGGAGGCGCGGAGCGGTGTTTTTTGCGGAGGCCGCGTTTTCCCGGTTTCTAACCCGATTTTCTAATCGAAAGAGGGCCGAGGTCTTGGATTTTCCCTCCCCCTCCTTTGAAGGAGTCCCCGAAATGCACATAAGGACGATGGGGGTGGGTAGGAGAGTTTTCAAGGTACAAACAAAACCGTCCCAGTTCCAGGGCCCGCATTTTCTTTGCTCTGCCAGGCCTGTGAGTGGATTTTTATCAATTGTCCTAAATGTGCCCAATAGCCAGTTAATCACCCCCGTGGTGCGTAAAGCAACATCGCACTCCTGGGTGCCTGCAATCGTTGGGAACAAACCGAAAGGAAGAAGACAGATCAAGAAACACAGCTCCTCTTTGAAAGGACCTGCTCTGCCGTTCTGTGCAGGCGGGTGAAGAGTGCTTTTCACAAAAAGTACTTTTTTACAAAAGTGTGGTGTGTGTGTGTGTGTGGGGGGGGTGTGTGTGCTGCAAATTTCCCACACACTCAAAATCAAGAAAGAACGTCTCTGTACCCGTGCCTTAATTCTCGTCTGAAAAGCATTTGTGCACACATGATATAAATATGCATCTGGGATTCTCAAAAGAAAAAAATCATGAATAAAAATATATTTTTTTATTGTGTAAAAGAACATTGTTTCCGTGTGAGTTCTTGGGGGCCTGGTTGATCTCCTGCTCCCTGCAAATGCTGCCAGGAGACCCTGGGGATTTGTCCCCAAGATTGTCTTGATAACCACTACTCCGCCCAAGCACACCAGGAGGCCCGCCTATAGCAGATACTTAATTGTCGTTATTGTTAGAAAGGAGAGGTGGGGGAGGGAAGTGGGAGAGAAGGATAAGGCGGACCGACCGTCCTTTCCTTAGGAAACTCAGGGACCCGAGTCCTGGGGACTAAATTCCTTCCTAGCACCTGGAGTTTGCACCTTGGTGGAAGCCAGCTCTTCGGTGATGTTTTTCTTTTCTTTCAAAAACAAATATCAGTGGGACAAAGCAGCTGCAAATGTTTAATTGTTTTGTAAACTGGGGAGGCCGGTCACTCACCTACCTCTTGTTACTATTTTAGGGCTGAGTCAGAAGGACCAGCGAGGTGTCTTTGCCCTGTTCAATAGTGACCCTAGCGGCAAATATATACAAAAGGTTGCCAAGTCTTTACAGTGGTTTAAAAAAACACCCCAAAGTTTCAGAGGCTCATTTCTACTTTCCCGGACCTCTTAGAAGACCCACTTGTGGGGCTGCTGAAGTTAGTGGCTAAATCAGTGCCTAGCCACCAGCACTTCCCAGAGAGGGGCTTCCTGACTCACTCCAAGCCCCCAACCAGTGCTACCTCATTTTATTCCTGCTGCTGTATGTGCAGCTGTGGGCAAACTGCCTGGTGCCTTTTTTTCCCCAGGAACTAGAGTTCCATGGCACAGACACAGGACGGATACCAATATGTGCCTAAACCTGGGGAACACCGTACAAGGGACAGGCCTACGCTATGTTTTAGGGCCAACAAAAGAATCCTCTAAATCCACCTCAGTTCTTGCCCGTAGAAAACCCCCCACCCTACCCCAGTCACCAAAAAGAGTGTGGTGCAAAAAAGCAGTCACTGATCGGTCCCCAGTTCCTGGGGACCCTACAGCAGCCAGCCACCAAGGCCCTCTGCAGGGCTCTGGCCTACAGCCTCAGTTGCCAGGCCCCAGCCAAAGAGTTCAGCTGCCCCTTTTCAAGCTAGACCCTGGATTTGGAGACAATACTTTGGTTGCACTCACTGCTTGGCACACGTAGCCCTGCCCTTTTCTGCCCAGGGCTTAGACACTCAGAGACCACTCCAGCCCAAAGCACCTGAGTAGCCCTATCCAAGAAGCCGTTCTGAGCACCACTTAGAACTTCCCACAGGCTCACACTTGTCTCTGCAACTCCGCTCCGAAGATTCCCACACCTTTCTTCCCACCGAGGCTCTCATTGCACTCCAACAACGCCCCCACAACACACACACACACACACACACACACACACACACACACACACATTGTACTTCCAAGTATCTGACCCCAGACAGGTCACAAGAAAACCTCTGCATCTGTCGCAGTCTGTCCCCAGCCTCCAGCCATACAAGTCCACAGTGCCACCCGCCCGCTTAGCATTGAAGCCGGCAGGTAAGGCTCAAACCACATCTCTCCGTATCAACCACCCTTTCCCAGCATGCTGCCAGAAAGTAGGCTGTCTGGGGAGGCCTGACTCCTTCAGTCAGTCACTCCAAGATCCCTAGGCTGCAGCTTCCTAGACTGATTCTCCAGCTAAGAAAAATTGTAAGGGCAAAATTCCCGTATGGAACGGTTTAGGAAGAAAGATACCTATTTCTCTTTACCAGAGAATTAAGCCAACCAGGGTGGAGATCTCCCGCCCGTACCGCAGCCAGGGTTCAGCACCCACCTCCCTGCTCCAGGAATCCCAGACACTCTTGAACTGGGGAAACACAATCAGGCTTGGCTCTCTAAAGCAATGCCTTTCTTGGAAAAGAAATTCTTGGTCCCCACTTCAGGCCTTAGAGGGGCCAAGCCCTCTCCCAGGACAAGCATCGTATCCACCAGTCCGCCCAGGGCTTTGTCTTGTACCCCAATTCAGTCACTCTGCGCAGGTTTCCGGGACAACAGATGGCACCTAGGGGCACCCCACCACTGTCGGCTGGAATGAGATGATTCGCCCCAGCCCGGAGATACGCAGCCCTTTGAGCCCTCGGAGCTCCCGGGCCCAGTGGAGCGCAGAGCCGGCCGCAGGGCGGCGCGGGCCCTTCCCGGCAGGGACCGGCCGGGCTGGAGTGCTGGTCCGTGGCGGGGAAAGAGAGGAGGGCGAGAGACGCTTACTGTTGGTAGTCTTGTTTGCAGTACAGTTTCCGATCCCGGAAGTAGCAGCTGGTGGTGAGGGCTTGCTGACATGCCGCGCACTGCAAACACTCCTCGTGCCAGGACGACTCGTTGACTCGCATCAGGAAGCGGTCGGAGATGGGCCGCTGGCAGCCCTCGCAGACGGCGGGATGCGGGCAGTCGGAGCCTGCAGCGCACAGGGCGAGAGCCGGGCCGTCAGCGCCGCCTGGCCCAGCCCGGGAGCGCCACCCGTCGCCTGAGGACCCCAGCCAGCGAGCCAGAGACCCAGCAGCCCTAGACAGCACGTTCCTGTCCGTAAGCCGGGGCGCCGAGAGACCGAGGGCCTGCAGCCTTGGCTGGGCGCTGCGCTCTCCCCGCTCGCGGACATCCAGCGTATGGTGTTATTACCAACGAAAAGGAGCTCCGCGCGGGGTGGCCGGCTGGAACCCAAGCAGCGAGGTGAGGCCAGGACACTCGCTGGCTGACACGCCCCACGATGCTGATGGAACCTTCTGCCCTAAGACCCGCGGTTTGGATAGACCCGGGAATATTTTCCTCTTCTAGAAGCTCCCCGTCCCCAGGTGACCTGGCATCTCTCCCAGGCTCTAAGGAGACAACTTGGTTCTCGAGCATCCCTGTCACCCGCTTCCCACCCCAGCCCAGTCCAGAGTAGCAGTACTAGAACCCAGACCCGGAGAGGATGGTGTGAGTGACGGCTGAGGCTGTTTAGTTCTATGTCTAGGTGACGTCCCTAAACGTTGTCCCCTTAGGGAGCTGTCTAGGTGTGCTTGTTGCCTCTCCGGTGGTCATTCCAGGGGTCCAGACCCCCTCCCTACGTCCTGAAAACCTACTTTCTTTATTCTTTGGCCCTCACACCGGTGTCCACATCGGCACGACGGACGGCCCTACCCCCTGACCCGGACTATTCGGGCGTTGCGACCCAGTACTCACCCAGCAGCACCCCCAGAGTGGCGGGTCCGGGACGTAGGGCGTGCTCCTCCATCTTGATGCCGTCCAACATCTTGGCGCAGTCCGTTTGTCCGCGAGGGAAGCACCTCTCCAGCGACTCGGGACCTGTTGCTATATCCATGGGACGCCCGGCGCGCTGCAGACCCCGCCGGCTGGGCTGCTCGCCCTCCGGCCCGTCCGCTCGCTCCGCTGCAGCCCGGGAGGCGCGGCACCCGCGGGATCGGGGCCGCTCGCTGCCCCGGAGCGAGCGTGGAGCGGCGGCGCGCTGGCCCCGGGCCCCGGCGTCGTGCGGGAGGGCCCGGGCGGCTGGCAGCCCCGCGCGCCGCGCGCCCGGCGGCCCCAGGATA